TTGTCGATTTTCCGTTTGGGCGCAGATGTAGCACAGGACCGTCATCAGTGGGAAATGGAGCTTTAGGAGGGAAAGGAGCTGGGCGAGTTTGGTGAATCACAAAAGCAAGGCGCTGGAAACCTGAGCGCAGGGGGGAGGGGCGCACCTGCGCCCTCGTCAGCAATCTACTTCTGTAAAGTGTCTACATGTGAATACCGGACAGCCTTGTCAACAACCTGTAAGCTCCTGGCAAACTTGTCAAATTGACTGATCAAGATTTGGAACAATGGAGAAATGGTGTTCAAATGATGCTAGTGCCATTTCAACAGGAAATTACACGGTACTTAACAGGTCTTTACAGGACTTGCAGGGGGGGACAACTGCGAAAAGGCAAAAAAGGAGACAATGACACGTCCACATATCGACAAGCGCGCGTAAGTTTGGCCACCCCTCCCCAAGGTTATTAGCGCCAAAAGCGGAAACATACGTTCATTAGCACCGAAGTATCTCTTCACCCAAAGCATCTAGTCCTGGACCTATGTGACACCTGCACCCCTGTTATTTAGAGGCAGATTTTCGGATTTTCTTAAAATGGTTGTTCAGATGGCTCGGAAGAAGCCATGGTGACGTCGACGACAGATGTGGACTTGAGCATGATTGAAAGACCGCCTAATCCACCGGAAACTTTCGACGCACCAGAACCCGCGCAGAACCCGAAAGATTTCGGAACCGTGAGGAACCGATTCAGTGAGTGAGGTTGAGACAGGTCGATCTCAGCACTATAATGAGTTTAGGAAGTCATTACAGCACTGTTAAAGAAAACTTGCCAGCTCTTTTTTTATGGTAAACGGAAGTTTCAGAATGCAATGGATGAGCCGGTCGTGGAAGAATTACTGTTCAAGAAACCGTTACCAAGAGCAACACCACTCCTTGGAGGATTGTATCAAGATATATCACCACCGGATAAATCCCCAGATCGGACTGTTACTCCTCCTCCAGCTCCAGAACCTACAGAAGCAGCTGAAACCACAGAGACGTGAGGTTGTAAAGATGTTATTATGGTTCAATTCACCTCGTTACTTTGTTTTACTATGCAATTGTAGCATCACATCCTTGGATTTATTGAGTGATTATAAAATATTGATTGATGATATTACGTTATATTTGGTTTTTGGTGGAATTTCAAGCTGACTTGTGTCAAGTGATTGGCACAATCGCAGAGGCTCAATTTTGCATAACTGATGGTTTGGTTTTTTCCTCAAGTAGACTTTTAACCCAAGAAATCCAACGTCAGTCCTATCAATAGTCTGTTCACTAATCCTATTTTATCGATTCCGATCAAAATCGATTTTTGTTTAGCATCGTTATTGATTTGAACGCGTAAGTTCAGCTGGAGAACGTTACGCGTAATGACAAGCTCCTGTTCTTAACGAGTTGATCCATCCTTATCGTATCGTTTTGTAATTCAACAGCTAGGAGGCGTGGCTTAGTTTAATGGAATTAATTTTTCAAATATTTTTGTGAGAGTCCCCCCTTCCCCCCAGTCTGATGCAAAGTCTACGCTTGATCGTGTGCGTGGCGTCAGAATTACCATTGGGTTTCCTTCACGAATATGCCCATCCCTAACCGTTAAGGGTAGATGGCGCATCGATGAGAAGGCTGCATCACACCACCCGCCCATCCTATGAGCGTAGACTGTGGGCTGTAGAAGAATAGCTGCATGCGTGGGAACAAAATCCCTGGCAAATTCCAGAAAATTTAGGTAGGATGTCGGGAGGTTCGAGGTTGGGGAAGGGGGAGGGGGTGGTAGTAGTGAACGAAATCCCGGAGGGGAGGGGAAGGATTCCGAAAATTTTTTCCCAACGGCAGCACCTGTTTCAGCGTTCAGTACGGTTCGGTTCAAGGAGGAGTGGTAGTAGGAGGTACACCAGCAAACACGATTACAAACTTCGTCTATATTCTATCCACGCAACGCCACTGGTTCTATCGTGACGTGTTCTAGGGCTAGTGCGAAAGCCTACAACTTCTGCACAAGGTGGCCAGGGATAACCGTGGTAGGGTCTGGGAATGAGTCTTATTTGAAGACCACTGGGCACCCTGGGTTGGCGCCTAGCGGATCTGGTGTGAGGCTTTTCCGATTCTAGCCCCCCCCCCCCATCCTTTCTCCGCGCCCTTGTGGGATGACCTGTCTTTGTACAATCTGGAGGAAAGGTTTAAATTCGTAAACAGGATTTTTATGATAATTATTAGGGACTCGTCTTCTCAAAAGCTGAGCTGGCCAACGACCGTGTCACCGCTTCTTTGGATTCGTTCATACTTCGCGACCTGGGCGATTCAGTCGCGCGACTACGACTGACCGCGCTCCACTGCTGCAACTGTTAACCATCATATACTACAAAAAATCGAGCGTGACAGCGCCTCAGTGATTAGCGGTAGAGGGTGATTAGCGGATTAGTCGAAGTCGTTCGATTTCTGTCTTCCGCGACTTGGATCGCTCGAGTCGTGATGTATAAACGCTCCCTTAATAACTTCTACCACTCTTCTCCTTTGGTCGTTGCGATCTGCGCAAAATTGTCGCATTTATCGTCTCAAAAAAGGCGTAAAGGCGCAGTTCTCTAAGTGAGAAGTCTCCATCTCATGACGTCAATAACCTCCAAATACAATTCTCTATTCATTTGTATATCTGTTGGTTTCCATCCATGTTTCAATTAATTCTCGCGGACGTAACTGCCCGCTACGTTCATGTTCTCGATTCAATTTAATTCTTTTCAAGTGTTGATCATATGAACGAAGGTTCAGTTGTTATGAACAATAATGTTTTTCGAAATGTTTCATGTATGTGATGATAATGAAATAAGAAATATGTTTTGAATAATAAATGTTAGTTAAGTTAATGTCGATTTCCCTCTGAGATTGAACCCGTGTTCTTGTTTGACTGCGGATCGATGGATGTGTCGAGGACGGACAAAGACAACTCGGTAACTTTGTTGCGTCGTCGCGAGCGAACCTTGCGGCGCTACGGCCAATTCTCGATGTGCGTCCGTTTGTAGATTGAACAGCCAACCTCGTATGAACTCATACGGAGAAGACTTCATGGAAGACGATACCGAATGTTCCCGTTCCCTTTTCACTCATATTCAAACAATTAGGAAAGACAACTGGCTGCCGTGCGACGTCGCTTGCCACGCCCACCAGCGCGGCATACTACAACTGTCTCATCTACCCGGCCGTATCAATGGGAAAGGATGGCACGCTGCCAGCCCGCTCTCCCCTCATAGTGAGTTGGATAAACGACAATAATAGTTGAAAAACGAACGATATGAAGGTCTTGTTGCTCGCTGAAAGAGAAAAAAAGGAAAAATGCTCTGGCGCGGGCAAACCCAGGTCGTAAGGGGGGGGGGGAAGGTAGGGAAAACGCAGCCGGCTTTGATAGTGATTTGCCGGGCAGCGAAAAAATTTCTTCGTTTCATGTTTCTCTATATACTCCCCCCTAGCTGCTCGGTAGTCGGCGCAGCGAAGCCACAATAGGGTGGGCGCATCGTTGTTGGGAATTCCCCAACAGGAGGGTCGTATTTGGTAGCTGGGGTAGGAGGAGTCGTTTTTGGTTCCGAGAGAAAGCTTTTTTGGGAATTGATTCTTCTTTTTCGACGCTATAAAGGTGGGGGGCGCATTTGGGTTGTGGCGATCTGAGGGAGGTTGGTTTTTTTCGTGCGCTTTCCTGTTTCATATGTACTATATAATACTATAGACAGCTGTTAGGAAAAAGCAGGGAAATTTTCGGCAAGTTCCGGACAAATCTGGAAAAAATGGTAGAAAGCTGGGAAAATTTAAGAAAGTAAGAAAGTGGTAAGTAAGGGGAAGTGTGGAGGGGGGGTTGTACGGACTCGACCAATATCCCCAACTAATGTGATGCCCTGACCATAGATCCGCCATAGATTTGAAATAGCAAGTTGGCTGGTGGCGATCTTTTCTCCCCTCTCATATCTCAACTTCAGCAACCAGGGAAAAAATCTAGAGAACTGGGAAAATGACAGGGAGAACTTCTGGGAAAAGTAGGAAGATGGTAGGTACGATAAGGAATGGGGAATCACACAATTGGAGGAAATCTGAGGAGTGGAAGAGCGTACTGACGCCGACATCTTCGGCATCACGACGCTGCATTCTGAATGAAAAAGAACCGTCTGACGGTCTCCTTCAAGTCAAGAAAAAAAGCATTTGTGATACTGGCTAGAATTCAAATGCATGGCTCATACCACAATGACAGGGCGATGTTGGTCATTTTACCGCCGTTTACGGATTATTTTTCTTGCTGCTTTTTGGTTTTTTAAAAGGCCGGCTAAAGAATGTTTATACAGAGAACTAGAGAGAATACATGTTGAAATCTTTATTTAGGTGATTCGGTCGTTTTAAGATGAAGCTGGACTAGAATAATGAACTTTTCTCGGACTGGATGAATTTGAAAGAACAGCAGTGATTTACAATGCACATACCAGCGATGGAGTGGGCGTAGCTGCGTTCACTTGAACATAGCGTGGGATTCGTTGCGGGATGTTTGCATTCGAGTTGCCCTATCTTGTAATGGACAACTCATGGTTGCAGCTGTTCTTAAACTGCAATATCCCTCCAGGTGCGCAGCTGCCGCCACGTTCAAATTGAGTACGCAGCCACGGACTCTCCATCTCTGTGATATGAAGCGTACGCCTGTTGCGTTGCTCTCTGGATTATATCCTCAACTGTCGCATAGGTGTGATGTCATCGCCAGGCACTGTTTCCGCATCGTCCCATCCTGAAAGAATATTGGGCAATCTTATTCACTACATGAGCTGTAGTGTGTTAGGGGGGCTGATTTTGGCGCGGCGCCAGCCCGTGCTCCGAGGGGAAGCGACCGCAACTGATAGAGAACGGGCTGGCGCCTCGCCAAACCCTGTCCTCCTGACACACCCCAGAGTCCGCCGTGAAGTATAGTTCACCGAATCCAAACTTTTTAGAGAAAAAAATTAAACTCCAGAAGAAAAGCGTTGAATGTGGACTCAGTTTTAACGACTGACCTGTTTTAGTAGCAGGTCGTAATGGACTGTCCGTGGAAGGATTACGGAAGGAATGATTTGGTTGCTGTAAGTAAAAAATTGTTTTCCGATCATTAATAGGGTTCATAACCATCATGGGGACGGGGTAAGACTTATCGTTGTTGCTTCTTCATTTGTGTGCCCTCATCATTACCGTCCAGAAAAGGAGGACTCACCTATGAGGAGGTCAAGATAGCAAGCCTGACCCCGCCCACGAGATAAGCGTGGACTACTTGTCCGCGTAAAAGTCCAAAATAAAACAAACTAAGTAAAACAAACTACAAATGAAAATTGGAAATATAGCTTCCAAAATTATGTTGTCTGGACAATTATTAAGGCTGCCTTACAATATCCGGATTCCGGTCTAAATAGCTGCATATGTCGGCTGTATATTCGATGTCGTCTATGATAGCGAACACCTCTGTAAATCGACGCCGTCAATACAAAATGGTCGTCGACTATGAAGAGCTAAAATAGATTTTTCACATTTTTAACTTACCTCCAAGAACGTTTTGCCATGGGCAAGGTAATTAGGTCCACTGCTGCTGCAGCGTGCCTCTTTCTCCGCTCAGAAGTACACATAACGGGGCTGGAGGGCAGCAGAAACCCGCGTGTCGTTTCCATTACCCACTTGCGCCGATACCAAGGCCCCGCAGAGAAACACTCAGTAATAGAGAACAACCATTCGCGAGAGGGCGCAGACAACTAGCGCGTTCGGCTATGGTTAGGGATGTGGTTGGTTGTGCGGCAGCGCGGGCAGAGTCTGGAGACGGCATCCTATCCCGTGCACTTTTGACCGGAGGAAAAGGCAAGTTACTGCAGCTGTGGATAACTGATTATTGAGTAGCCTGTTAGTTTACTCTTGTTGACTTTAATGTACATAATTGTAGTGTAGATCAAGTAAGTAAATAACCTTGTAAACCAAATTGTACCTGAAATGGTAGCGAAGTTGGTTCGGGAATCCTGACGCTAACAGGACCTGGATCACCAATTTCAATCACATTGCTGCAGTAATCAAAATCAACAACTGATCTCGGATTCCTCTTCAAACATACTCGAAGATGCACCTGGGGCGATGTCCAGTACCTGGAAAATAACGTGCTCTAGAATACGTGATATTGTTGCTCCTCAGAAATACTCCAACTTGAAGCTCAATTGTCCTGGACCGAGTTGACATGGAATCGGATCAGCGGCCATTACTGCCTTGGCTGTACTTGGTTTTACAGTGTCTGTGGCAACAATCGCGTATGATCCGTCTGGAAACGAAAGTGAGTAGTGGCAAAGAATCAAGGCCGAAAGAAAAGACTAGATGAAGCTCTCAAAGAACGACTACTTGTTGAGTGGATGCTCTCACTCATCTGAAGTGGCTGGCTTGGGTGGTGTGGAGGATCCACGGGACGTGGCCAGATAAGATTTCGGAAGGGAGGCTCCCGAAACAGCAACGGGAATCATGGTGGAATCCAACATGCTTGGTGGTAATGAAATGACACGAAAAGTTTAAAGGTTCAAGGAATTACTGCTACAATGTGACCGCGAGTTTGGTTTGGACGCGAGTTTGGTTCATTCCTCCGCTTAGAGTCCTTTTAACTGCCATGTTACACCGCCACTGCATAGCCCGTGTTATTAGGACACTTCGTATGTGGGAAGGGCGTATTTGTCATTGGAGGGAAAGTCCTGATTGCTGGCTCTCCTAGATTTCCCCCGTCTCAGGGGTGCGCCATTCATGGCTGTTTTCGAAGAAAAGCAGGAGATCTTCGGAGCTCGAAAAGTGGTAGGAAGTTGGGAGAATTAGGAACATGGCAGGTAGGCTAAGAGAATGGGGTGGGTCGCACCACCCCACTGCGGGTTGTGCTAAGAGTGGGTGTACGTTCACCGCACTGATTAACCCGCTTGGCCTGTTCTGCGTGCTTGGCGCACGTTTCCAGCTCGAGGAAGAGATCAGGTCTTAGAACATCCCGGGTTAGGGTAGTTAAGAGGACTGCGAAATCTATAGAAATAAATGACTTTCGAAGCACGATCTGTGGCGTTAAACGAGCACAGCGTGGCGTTAAGTTATTTTACCAAAACAGAGTAAGACTGCAAACTCTATCCTGTAATGAAGTCGAAGGAATTAGACTGAGCCTAGCCTTTAACGCCCTCACACAGTGACAATGGACCCTTCTCCCGGAAGATCAACCTGAAATGACCAGGATGGGCGCGGTGTAGTCGCGTCGCCCATCCCCTTAACTACTAGTGCCCTTCCCTTATCTTCATCAAGTAAGAGTAACCCTCCCAACGAATTATAAAAAATTTGAGGGCCATAGTCATGTTGGACGTTGCCCCTAGTGATAGATAGCATAAAGTGGACAAGCACCTGGAATCGTATTCGCTCCTGTAGCCCGTTGAATTCGACTTTTATTGAGCACGCCAGTTCCCTAAAAGTTGTATGAACGTAATCAAAAAGAGTCCCTCAAAGGAGTGATAACTGGAGAGGGCCAGAAAAATCTTCAGAAGGTGCCATACCTGAAACCAATCCATCTCGTCCACAAAGAGCCCTTCAATATTACGCCATCGGCAAGTCGAATCGAAGTCAGAGCAGGAAAGCTCCGATGAATCACTGACGGGGCGCATTGATGAGACTCCCAGCGCTGAAATTCATTTGGTAGGCAAGATGAAAGGCACTACTAATTGTACGGACGGAGAGAGACGGTCAACCTTTTTCTCCTGCCTTCCTCACTAAAGAGCCTCTCTTCACTGCCTAC